TCGGTAGGATGGCAGGGAGGTTCTTGCAAGTCGGAGACTGGCAGGCCTGTCTTTGCGGAAAAAAGGTAGACTGAAAGCTGTCCATGCACTTTTAGATTGAGGAAAGCATTCCGTGCAAAGAACATGGATTGGCCTATCATATTCTCTTGAAAAACAGCGTCCTGGGTTAAAAAGGTGGGATAAATTTCGTAAAATTAGTGGTCGCCAACACTGATAGGAGCCGGTATCAGAAATCAAATCCAAGCGAATAACCAAAATTTCTGAGTTATGTGCCGCGGTTATAATATGGTTCAAGATGCCACACGGGTTGATGACGTCAGTTACACGAATCGCTTGAACGCGTTGGTTTTAACCGCGGTTTTGTTGCAAGTTGTTTATTTTAGAAAAGCGCGTATATAATCTCTGATTATTTTTATTATCACTTAATAATCGGTGCCTTTTCGTCTACAACTGTGTATGGAAAGTTTAAAAAAGAAACCTTTCATAACATTCATGGGAGAAATGTTTTTTCAGATTATTTTTTTAATGATGGAGCCATGGCTTTGTAGCTATGATAACTTTCAGTTCTCTAAAGTTTTCCGCATGTCAAAGAAAACATTTATTGATTCACCAGAAATGATGAAAAAAGAGATTAGCAAAACCGTATACAGGTGGACATCATCTAGTGAGTTTATATGGCCATATTTTAATATTCTTGTGGTATATGGCAACACAGGATACTTTGTTAAGCATAGGAACTACATTTAAAGTGTCCCCATCAACAACAGTAATGAGTATAACTAAAAAGGTGCTCCACTTTATGGTAAAACTGAAGTCAGCCTGTATCATGTTTCCCAAAAATGAAGCTGAAATACAATAACAATATCCAATACCCGGCAAAATTGTCACATTTCAAATAATAACCAGAAATATAAAACTACTCCTGAGTTGGGTAAATACTACAATTTTGCGGTGATAACTATGACATATAACAGCTGATTCATGACGTCACGGATCGTATAACCAAACTGATAACCACACTCGCTTGAACGGATCGGTAAATACCAACCCAAAATGGTAAATACCATTTTCATTTGGTTATCCGCTTGAATTTGATTAGAATGTTGCGAATTCGATGTCAGTTTGGTGCTCGGACCCAAGAAGAACCCCAAGAGGCCAATTTTCCATTCCAAATTCCAATTTATGACTCTTTGATGGCCACATTTTAATTTGGCGTCCCAAACTACCTGGATACACGTTGGAAAAAAGCTCGTCTCCTAAGTAAACTGGACATACAGATACCAAATCTGACGTACCTAAATTTAGCGTTAGCATCCACGAGAGATCTCAAGCAACCCGTTTTCCAGTTGAACGACAAATCGTATTTTTTTGACGACAATTTGTTGCCGAGTAAGCCGGGCACCTAGATTTCGAATTCGACGTCAAATCAAGGACGTGGGAGGGGATCGTCGAAGGATTCATGTTCTTCATCTTCAGGGGAATGTTCGTCTTGAGGAGGGGGGTATAGTTGATTGAAAGTTGAAGAACGGGTAGGTGGAAGAATATTAATGGATAATCTCGATTCGCCCTCGTAGCACCCCCTTGCGTCACAAGTATAGTCTTAAGCGACCTACACCTAATCCACGATTTTTTGGAACTTGAAGTGGTATGATCTGGAAACGAGCAGAATTTCAGTGAACTGCATGAACATATTTAAGAAGTGTATGGCCACCTTCATAAAATTCAGGATGATGCGGTTTTATTTAATTAGTTTCTTGAACCCTGTCTTGGATAGTCGGTCGCATGCGAAGATCTGTCTGCTCGTATTCTTTTCTAAAATACGAATAAATCCAGTTGCAGAAAGGTCTTGAATATATAAGACTGAAGGATAAAATTCGAAAAGTCGTATATTCCATTATTCATATAGATTTGTTGGGGACATGCATGTTTCGACTATAGCCTAAGCCTCATCAGTACATCTCAGAAACAGTGAACTATTCGTGCGTGGTTCGTTTAGAGGAGTCGCGCTCCTCCCCTAGGCACCCAAGTTTACAATTTTTTTAAAGAAAATGGTATACGAGGGGGTACTGAAACTTTATCACAAATTAACCTCCTTCAAAATACTGTCCACTACAACTAATACCCTTGCCCCCACCGGTGCTTCCACTGCTCGAAACATTTTTTGAAGCCTTCCTTAGAAATGTCTGACAGCTCCTCCCTCGTTTTTTTCTTGACCTCTTCAATGTCGTCAAAGCGGCGTCCTTTCATGCCTCTTTTCATCCGTGGAATGCCATTTTTAGCCCGGACACTGTCGAGCACATATGGCTGTGTGCGCAGGTGCATTATCGTGGTGGAAGAACAAGTCTCCTGACTGCCACAAATCGGGTCTTTTTTGCCGAACAAAGTTTCGCAATCGCCTTAATACCTCCAAATAGAACACGCTCTCGAATTTTTTCAACTTTTTCGTCGATTCGGGCAGTTTATGAACGTCCAGAGCGAGGTTTGTCATAAATCGACATTTCGCCATTTTTAAATTGAGCAAACCAATCGAACACCTGGGTTTTTTCCATAGCATCATCTTTGTAAGCTATTTTCAACATTAAAACAGTGCAGCTTTGCAGATGGGTAACTGACTTCCCCTCCATGCGCAACATATCCGCATACAATACCAACACGGGTGTTCCCCAGGGATGGTCGTGCACCCAACATTGTTTCTGTTATATATCAACAATATCCTCTGCTGAACGATCAATCCCATACACAGCTTTTCCAAAGACAGCACTTAAAAAGCTAGGTTATTTGTTTCGGGCTGAGAGTAAGACCTAGCCTCGAGCTCTGCTCCCATGTTCTGCCACCTCGAGTGCAATGTCCATACTCGATGCTGGCAGGCTTCTGTCTCCTATCACAACGTTGTCGAATTTCATATGTCGAGAAAAAATAGAGATCCAACCGATTTTATGCGGCGAATTGTTATCATGGATAAGAGATGCATCCACGACTAAGCGCCAGCAACAAAACAGAAATCGAAGTAGTAGGTGGAATCCTCTGTTTCAGCGCCAAAGTAGAGAAGTCGATTAAATCTGCCGAAAATGTCATGGCCAGTGTGTTTTGGGATTATGTTTATTGATTACCTTGAAACGCGTAGAATAATTACGGACGAGTACTGTACCAATCTTCTCGGCAAACTGGATGTCAAAATCTGAAAGGCCTGACTTGAAGAAGACAAATATCATTTTCATCTGGACGACGCATCTGCTTACAAACGTTTGTTAACGATGGGAAAACTGCAGGTTTTAGGGTAAAAATTTCTCCGACCATCCCACCTATTCTCTTGACATACATTCATTTGTTCATTGATTTGAATAAACTTCTTTCTTGAAAGTACTTTCAGTCCGATGTGCAAACAACTGACCAACCGTGTTGAAAATGAAGTAATTTTTAACTGAAAGTCACAGCCTTTCATTGTCACGCTGAAAACTTTTCACCTTACCCTCGTATTAGTGCTACTTCTCCCCTGGCAATCTGACGACTTAAGGGTTTCCGTGAACACCATGATTTGAGGCTCCCACTGGTTACTACGTTATCAACATTTTTTTGAACTACACAGTTTCGTCCAAAAGGCAGTTAAGAAATACCGATCTTCGGTATCGTACTCTAGGAGCCTGTACAGGAGGCATCCTGTACAGGGTGTCCGCAAAGTTGGGATTTTTCTTTACACGGCGTATAGATCTCGAAGAAATAAGTGGTCTAAAAAAAATAATCAAGATATTATGCTCCGCAAAATCAGTCAGTAAGAAAATCGAACTTGTACCATGATTTCAATTTATGGTGAGTGTCTTCAAAATGCTACCGAGGCTTCGCGAGTGTATGCAGATCGCTTTTCCAGACGTTATCATCCAGGGCCACGTAAATTTGTTTACCTGGTGCAGAGAGCTAGGTACACAGAACGTTTCGCAGGAAAGTCCTAGACAGCCCCGAATCTTGTAGAAGAAAATCCTTCAACAAGCACTCCGGAAGTGGCTAGACAAGTCTCCAAGACTAAAGAGTGGCAAACGCTGCGTGATGATGGTTGGTAATCTTTTGTAAAAACCCTTCAAGCTGAGGATTTTCCTGCAAGTGTGCGTTTTTGTGAGTGGTTGTTACAGTCCGTATCAGTCGCGTACGAATCACCCTTCACGCGTATCAGGGCGAATAGCTTACGAAATACTCATTGGTCATTACAAAATCCTCAGGTAGTCCGAAGGTCAATCTTTTCTTTGAATATTTTAGCTGGCATGGTAAACTGGACCTTTTATTTTCCCGAATTGGTTGGAAGATTTGCACTACCTAGACTTTCTACGACACACTACGACAACTTTATAAGTGACAGAACCGTACTTGAAAAATCTCTGCAAATGAAAGGTGAGTGTACCTGCATTTTCATTATTTTTTTTTACTTTTTCGCTACTGTTTAACTTCACCTTAACATTGTTATTTGAAACGTAGTTGTTTCTGAGAAGGAAAGTTCGAACTTTCAGGACACCCTCTATAATGAGCTACCTAAAAGAATCATAAATAGCCTGAAGGGTACATTTCATATTAAGCACGGGGTCGGAAAGATATTTACCAAACACACCATTATATAATCACAGCAAAAATATGTGATAATGATATTAGTACGTTTTATATATGTAGATGTTTATTTCTGCCGAATTGTAAAGTTGATTAGATAAGGACGTTAATGACTAAATTATGTTTTGCTTATGTCTACAAGAATCGGTGCCTGGGAATTTTTGTTAATGCTTTTCTCTCATATGCCATTTTCGCATATTACCGCACGATGGTAAATAAAAGATATATGAATTAGAGCGCAACCTCAGAATCACTTAGTCAATTATTTTTGCACTGGAAAGAACTCAAAAAAGATGTTTGGCAATACATCATGAGCGGCGCAAGTAGTTTGCGCCCAAATTGCACGTATTCTTTTTCTTGAATCCAATTTACCTTTTCCTATATCATATTTGTAAAATTGGCAAGCATTCATGTTCGCACACTATTATATTTTATTTATTATATTTTCAGGTAATTTGGGCGGTAGATATGAATATCGTCGTGAGAAAACCATGAAGGAACATGCTGCCAAATTAGGGGTGGAAACTTTACCTAGAAAACAAGCTTCCGTCCAGATCGTAGACGCGCAACAATTTTTGGATATTTCTTATTTGCCGTTTTTTGATTAGTAGAATGCCTAACATTATCTCGAAAATGGGGCATTTGGTTTCAGCGACCAAAAAAAAAGAAAAGGTAGTTTTTGGCCCTTTTTGTAACAAGGTTACTGAAAATTAAGATGGTTTAAATGCGGTTGAAATTACCTCTACCGTACGTGTTTTGGGACGCTAAAACCGAATCCGAAGTCATTTCATATTATGTATCTGATCCCGTTTATCACCTATATTTTATTATTTAGTAAAAAATTGCAAAACTATGAGACCTTTGCGACTTTAAGGTAACTTTGGGCGCTAAATTTGAATATTATCGTGAAAAAAAAAACGTTAAAGTATCATTGTGCCGAATTAGGAGTGAAAAATTGATAAAAAATAGTTACTCGGGGCCACCCGTGAATCCTACTGCTAAATTGACATCGAATCCGGAATCTATACACCGGATTTATGTATAAAACAAACTTCCATCCAGAACATACACGCAAACAATTTTTGGAGGATTTTAATCGTTTTTTAGAATTTGTGCCAGTATATCGAAAACGGGGCATTTTCGGACTGACTGGGCGCCGGATTCGGTTTCAGCGACCCAAACAACGTATTACAAGGATGGCGAGATTCATGTTCTTGACTGACACATTTTTACTTCCTATGCCACTGGCATGTTATGACATGTCTGTCCGCTAATCCCTCGACCGTCTATAACTTGAGAAGCACAGCTCAGATTTTCATAAAACTTTGAAACAAGATTACTACTACAACAGGGGTGAAAACACTTTTTAGTTTTTGAAAATCGGTACAGTGCCGTCAACAAAAATGAAAACCGATCAAACTTTGTTTTTCTACGTTCCACATGATTATTTATGCGGCTGAAGTTCCGATCGATCACCTTCTGATCGAACCGGTAAAAAGGCAGCAGTGACGAAAATTTGCCATTACCACTTCTATACTGACGTAATTTGGGCCCAAATAAACATAAATCGATGCGGTTATCACGTAGTTCGATTGTATTAATGGCTTTCTATGTACTGTAAGAGTTTTATCTCCCTACTCCAAAATCTTCCTCAAAGTGAGGAGAAACGCGAAAAAATTGATGTTATATTAAAATAAACCTGGAGAAATGCGGTTTTCAGATAAATTGATTAGAAAAAGCATATTTTACTTACGCTAAGTTCAAATCCGGGCTATCTCGTTCACATATACCCCAAATTGGCCACTCTTTAAAGAAGCTATATAATCATCTATATAAAGTTTTTACATTTCTGCCATCAATATGACCTACCCTAGCACACCCTACCAGCCGTTTTCTCAAAGCAAGTCCGGTACCCCCCGTTTTTGACCCCTCTTTGTTTATACATAGCAAATTTGAAAAAATCTATTATCCGTCAAAACGGCCGAAGGAAAAAAGTTTTTTACATTTCTGGCATCAACATAATAATACTCTACCACACCCTACCAGCCGTTTTCCCAAAGCAAGTCCGGAACCCTCCGTTTTTGACCACTCTTTATTTATACATGACAAATTTGAAAAAATCCATTATTCGTCAAAACAACCGAAGACCAAAAAGTTTTTTACATTTCTGGCATCAATATAATCTACCTTATCACTCCCTACCAGCCGTTTTCCGAAAGCACGTCCGGAACCCTCCCTTTTTGACCCCTCTTTATTTATACATGACAAATTTGAAAAAATCTATTATCCGTCAAAACGGCCGAAGACCAAAAAGTTTTTTACATTTCTGGCATCAACATAATATACTCTATCACACCCTACCAGCCGTTTTCCCAAAGCAAGTCCGGAACCCTCCGTTTTTGACCCCTCTTTATTTATACATGACAAATTTGAAAAAATCCATTATTCGTCAAAACAACCGAAGACCAAAAAGTTTTTTATATTTTTGGTATCAACATAATATACTCTATCACACCCTGCCAGCCGTTTTCCGACAGCACGTCCGGAACCCTCCCTTTTTGACCCCTCTTTATTTATAGATGACAAATTTGAAAAATCTATTATCCGTCAAAACGGCCGAAGTCCAAAAAGTTATTTCCCTTTCTGGCATCAATATAATCTACTTTATCACTCTCAACTAGCCGTTTTCCGAAAGCAAGTCTGGAACACTCCGTTTTTGACCCCTTTTTATTTATACATGACAGATTTGAAAAATCCATTATTCATCAAAACAGCCAAAGACCAAAAAGTTTTTTACATTTCTGGCATCAATATGATCTACCTTATCGTTCCCTACCAGCCGTTTTCCGAAAGCACGTCCGGAACCCTCCGTTTTTGACCCCTCTTTATTTATAACATACATGACAAATTTGAAAAAATCTATTATTAGTCAAAACAGCCGAAGACCAAAAAGTTTTTTTACATTTCTGGCATCAATATAATCTACCTTATCACTCCCTACCAGCCGTTTTCCGAAAGCACGTCCGGATTATTTTCAGAAAAAAATGTGCAGGGGTTAAAAATTAATTGTTAGGGTTTGGAGGTTAGAAGAAAGTATATCTCAATATTTTGGTGCTAGCAATTTATACGTTTCCAGTGGGTGGGGTATACCCGGGTATCCAAGAGTTTTCGGTCCCGGGTAATAAATACTTGACGAAAAACTCGTGTACCCGGGTATCAATAAAAATCAGTATATTTCATTTTTCAGCGTAATAAACTACTGGCGCCTTGGAAAAAGTTCGTGAGGATCTATTTTTGTTATGAATGACGCAAAAACCCTAGAGAAAAATTTTTGAATTTGTTTATAAAAATTGTTCCAACAATTTTTACGCTATTTTGTGACTGGCAACATACAAATTCGTTAAAGGAAGTCCTTTTTGAATAAGATTATACAGTAAAACCGAATCAGATATTTTCTAGCAGGTGCTCGAAGATACTTCCTGGACTATTCGTGCTCAAAATCTTGGAAATAAGTGTGTGGTCCCTTTTCATTCTCATGTTCATTATTTGTTTACGTTTTTAATCAGTTATTAATTATACAGAACATGCTGTTTTCACGATATATACGCTACAGATTATTAATGATAATAAATTTGTCCTGAAAATGTAACATTATGGTTATACAGGTACAAGCTACGTAACATTATTTATTGTTTTTTATATATGCAGATGGATTTTTTGAACAAGTGACTTTTACGGAAGAGCTTGGTTCTGAAAACAAAGTTACACCGGATTCTCACATAATATTTTATCTGTCAATCCACATTCCGTTCCTGTGTACGGTATTACATTACCAAGCAATTTACGAACGCACCTCATAAACGCCATACATATGCAATTTTGTTTCCAAAACTCGTTGCCACGTGGCAGTAGCACCTGGATAGTCACAACTGGTCGCCTTTACAATTAAGCACAGAAAATGACCAACTTGAGAATACGGACTCTAGTGTTAAGATTCTATAGGCATGATTTTTTTAAGAAATACGACAATGTCATCCTGTTTCTATTATTATTTTTTTAAAAACAAGTTTATTTTTTTATGCATAAATATATATTTGAATGAACCAAACTGGATAATATCAAGTTTTATTTATATTTGTAAATACCTGGGTAAGACTCGGGTACCCCATACCCGGGTATCTAAAACGTCCGGGTTCGCGAAAACTCTATCTCATATATATCTCCTTTTATCTTGGAGAATTTGGAAGCGAGAATATAGCATTAGGTTAGTTATCTTCAGATAGAATATATTAATCAAAGCTTCCACCTATTCACCATCAAAGTTCTTAAAACTCCTTTCTGCTGACAAGCGAACACAATTTCCAATAAGCACGTTGCCATCTGCACATCGAGATGCTACACGTGATTTCACCACACGCATATCTCAATTTATCCGTATTCAAAACACTCATTGGATTCTAGACACATGGACCACCACGTATGCCTCGTGTTAGTTGACGAGGTCTAAAAAGGAATGAATCCCTACTCTATGTATATGTTGCATATGTTCTTAGCAACCCTTGTGAGGTATTGACAATTGTGTTCACAGTGAATACAGAGTGTGCTTAAATTTGGGACTTTCCTTTGCAGACCGTATAGGTCATCCAATAATACCGGGTGCTTCAATTTCGATTGGAATCTCGGAAACTGTAAGTCGCTTAAATGGGACAAAGTTGCTAGATCTCATAATTAGAATTTCAATATGGCGTATCTTTTCTTGTCCTCCAGCATCAACTTCATTTTTTATTATGGATGAATTATTGGATTTATGCACAGATCAATAGTTTTTAATTCTGATTCCAAAAATGTCACACACTGACATTGCCAAACCTTAGTCATTTCAAAGAATCAAAATCTCGTATGCAGGCCTTGAAATTATCATTTGCTTCACATCCCAGACTCATCTCAAATTCTTTTATACTAAGTGACATATAAATCCGAACACCCAGTTTAAATGGTTTTATTTTAATAAAATTTTGTATAAGTACTTAGTGAAGCATAATAAGTAAATGATAAAAATTTCAAAATGATTGCACTGCTTTAAAGCCCTTTGACCTTTAATAATGTGTGGATGCACCCTGATGTGCTACGTATTCTCCAACGCGCCTAGGCATGCTTCTGATCAGGTGGTCAATGTCCTCCTGTGGTATCTCATTCCAGGCAACCACCAACTCCTCTCGAAGTGCTTCTAGAGTCTGAGGAGGACGCTGCAAATTGAGCAATCTCCTACCCATCATATCCCACACGTGCTCAATTGGGGATAAGTCGGGAGATCTTGATGGCCATGGTAACAATGTGACATCATTATGTTGAAAGAAGTCTATTGTGACTCTTGCAACATGTGGTCGGGCATTATCTTGTTGGAAAGTTGGATCTGCCAGGGTGTCAAGATAGGGTAAAAGATGGGGTTCTAGAACTTCGTGGATATAACGCTGCGCGTTCATGTTACCTCTGATGAAGATTAAAGGTGACCTGGAACCATAAGTAATAGCACCCCAAACCATAACTCCAACAGTGTGATGAACATGTCTTTCAGCAAAAAACTGTGGATTCCTCCTTTCACCACGTCGCCTTCTAACCCTGGCACGACCATCGTGCATGCCTAAACAAATATCGAGACTCGTCACTAAAGACAATACTGTTCTATTCCTGATCCCAGAGTGACCGTTGTCTGCACCACTCAAGGCGATTACGTCGGTGTTCTCGAGTTAAAGGGAGGACCCAGTGTGGCCGGTATGAAAACAAGCCAAAACTTCTCATTCGTCGGTAAACACTTCGCATGCCAATAGGTCTTCCGTGTTCTGCAAACCATTCATTTGCAATGGACCTGGTAGTGGAGAAACGGTCCCTTAAGGCCAATAATCTTAGGCGGCGATCTTCACGGTCTGTTGTTCTAGGGCGGCGTCCAGTGCCCCTTGCTTTTTGCGTACGGCCTTCTCGAAGCCATGCCTGACAACACCTAACCACAGTGTCTACACTTCTTTGCACTTTAACTGCAATTGCCCGAAAAGAAAGTCCAGCTTCCCGAAGTCCCACTATACGGCCCCTATAAAACTCACTAAGTTGACGAAATCGTACAGGTCTCCGTACTCTAGGCATCGTAACCGATCGTAAAGGATGTCAAGAACCAAAATCCGCCAACGTTGATTCTTTACTGCGGCTGAAATATTCATTTTTAGAGCGTTAGTGAATTAAAAAAAAGCAGTATAAATACCGGAATGTCCAACTGATAAGGCTGAAAATTTGTTCACTTGTTATTTACACTAAGATAAATACATTCACCAACTTTTATTAAAATAAAACCATTTAAACTGGGTGTTCGGATTTATATGTCACTTAGTATATATTTCTTCCTGACTTTATTTGAGATAGGATTTCAAAATAAATTGCATGTTGTCAATGTTACTTATTATTCTCTACAAGAAGGTAGTCAAATTTTCAATTCGAACCCTTTCGATTTCCATCACCAACTTTGTTTTTTTCATATGGACGATATACTGGAATTTTGGAGAAATTTCATTCCTAAATTCAGTGATGTATTTCCTTAGTTGGCCATGAATTTGTTGTTGGTTGAAAATTATAACGAAATAAAAAAATATGGTGCAACCTGTGCACAAAATGAAAATTTTATTGATGGTAATAACAATAGAAGAAGTAAATCATGGTAGATGTTATTATACATTATATTATTATTACAAGTTATTTTGTTGGCAAGGCCTGACTCTTCTCTGTACATTGATCATTACTCGATGTATTGCCCTTCTTCTCAGTCTTCTAAACTCTGTTTCGAGGACTGGTGTACTATACGAAACAAATAACTATCTAATAATTTCAAGGCCTACCTAGGGACTTCTGTTTTTCTGGAATAGCTAGGGTTTGGCAAGGTCAATGTGTGGCATATTATACATTTTTGAAATTAAAGACTCTATTCATCTGCGCAAAAATCCAATATGGCGTCCTTAAAAAAATAAAATTGATGCTTGAGGACAAGAGATGGAACGTCATATTGAAATTCTAATAATAAAATACTGTAGAGGAGAAAAAGTGGGAATGCTAATGTGCAATTTATTTTGAAATCCCACTACAAATGCAGTCAGGTAAAAATTAAAACAATTTTGGGAAAATTCGTTTTTATACGAAAAGCTCATTCCAAGCCTGCCTCCCTCCTCTTACTTACTTAGGTACTTCTCAGCGCTGAAACTGGTTTACTCAATAATCATAATGGCTTGTGACGTAGTACATTGTTGGTACTACGGGATCGGCTAAAAGACTCAGAGGTGGCATAGTTACCAGGCTTGCCTTTGTACCACCACTACTACTACGACTACTATTACAACTATCTCGGCGAATTTCCTGTTTTGTAGACTTTTTCTTGGCGGAATTGTAAGTGGATCAGTTTATGATTGCGTACTTTTTATCAAAAAATTGCAGTGGGTTCTCATACTAATGCGAGAGTGGGAGCAAGGAAAATCCCGCGGGATTTTACACCCGCTCCAGAAGCTGAGAAACAAATAACATCGAAATCACTACCGCTCGTGATTCATTGTTGGACACGTGGCTTACCTTTTTATTCTATTGTTGATATGCATCATATACCCTGGAGTACCAAGTGCGCGCAATGAGTTTGGAATTATCATACACAGAACATACCAAATGCAAATATCAAATATCCGGCAACAAAACTTTTTGATACGGAATGTAGTGCTGTGTGACCGAATGATGATACGATGGTCTCAAGCGTGGCCTTCCATCTCTGCGATTATAACCAATCATATACCACGTTTTTGTCGTGCTTTTTAGCAATCATCAGTAGGGTCTGGTCATTTGGAGACGAATGACGGAAAGTAAACAAGCGAATACGAGGTCTGTAAATCAAGTGATGAAACTGGCTGAGTAGTGTTCGATCTGGCAACACTGGAGGCGTCGGGCTTGAAGGGGATACAGGGTACATGTGATCCGCCTTCAGTACAAGTTTGAACTCGCTCGAGTCATTGTAGCGATGTTTTGTGTAATAGTTTTTTATATTGTGTTCTAAAATGAGTGACATCAATTTCAGGTAACAACGTGCTATCAGGTTTTGCTTCAGACTTGGACACAGTGCAACGGAAACTCTTGCTAAACAGGCCTAAGGTGATAGTGTTTTGTCAAGAGCCCAGATTTTTCGGTTTAAGGCATTTTCAGAAGGGAGAGAGTCGACTGACGATGAACCACAAAGCGAGAGGCCTTCATCTTCATGAACCAATGAAAATATCGACAGAATCCGGGATCTTGTGCGTTCAGATCGTCGGTTGAAAGTCAGAATGATCGGGGAAGAGTTAAATTCGACTCACCGCACCGTTGATCAGATCAAGACCAACTGGGTGTTGCGTCAAGATAATGTTTCTTGTCACAAAGCACTGTCAATAAACAAATTTTTAGCCAGTAAAACATTCCTGTGGCTCCTCAGCCTCGTTATTCGGCTGACTTGAGTAATTATAACTGTTTTCTCTTCCCGAAGTTGAAAAAACACCTCACGGGAACTCTGATTTTGAGACAGCCGGAAACATTCCAACGGCTGTACCAGACCCGCTGAAATCTATTCCAATATCGGAGTTTCGGTACTGTGATGAGGAGTGGAAGCGCTGTCTGGCTCTAGAAGGAAGTTATTTTGAGGGTAAAAATATAAAATTGTAATTATATTTGAATAAATAAATTAAAACAAACAGTCTCATCACTTAATTTACAGACCTCGTATGAGCTTACCAAAAAATTCAGTATATGTGATGGGCAACATTGCAGGCTTTTTAGAAGCGGACTCTGTCATTCGTCATTCAAAGGTGTCGGGAAAGTGGTACTCAAATACTTTGTATTTTCCGCCGAAACAGTCAGTGAATAGGATTATAACGATAGTAAAGTCTAGGTCATTATGAGTATTTAAAGCAAGGCAGCAGCGGTGGCCGCAGTAGTAGACTCTTCGGTCTCCTGATCAGTCGCCGTGCGCTGTGCGGGTTCGAGTCCCGTCCCAGGAGAAATTTTTCTTTTGGCTATGGATGTTGTGATTGTCCGTAGGTGGTAGACGGTTTCTGACTGTCGAACGCGGAGGTACCACCCGGCGGATCTCGTAGGCGGAGCCAGAATGTGTGCATGTTGCATGCACACGTGTTCCATTTAAGAAAATTGTTTTGACCTTCAAGTGATCTTGAAGGTCATAGTCGAGGTCACTTTCAAGGTCACCATTAAATGAATCTTTAAAAACCTTACAACGTATTTTGTCCGTTCCCTACTTTTTGGACATCCTCAAATAGACATGAATATCATGGTCGAGGTCTCTGGCAAAAACATACTTTAACGTAAAATTCCCACCTTTACACTTCTGGTATCAAAAATAGAGGTTTTATTTCAGAAAGGTGTCTTGACCTTCCAACCACCTTGAAGATCATAGTCAATGTTACGTTCAAGGTCACTATTAGATGAATCGTTACAAGCCTTACAACTTTGCTTTACAACATTTTTTGTCTCCAGGAAACGTAGCTTTACAGATATGTAGGTATTTTTATCTATCCACTTTTTGATCACTCTGTATATCTTCGCGGAAAAAACCATGTCTATAACCTTCCCTATGTTTCAATGGGTAAGTGTACAAACTTTTACTTCTCTCAGTATTGTGGTTAAGACGTGATGACAGACCTATTTAAACACAGGTTAGGACTTTGCACGGTGTATCATAGAAATTAGCAGTTTTTTCTAGTAACATATACACCAAAGTCTTAAAATTACCAAGATGTTAGTCTCCGCAAAATAAATCAAACCTAAATAATACCTATTCCGATCCTGGACCAGATCAAGCGTGAACACGTATAACGCGCACTGCTATCAAAGCAGTCGCTGGCCCCTTCGGTAAACAAAACCGTTACGCATCGGTTCTAAAAAACGAAACGAAAGGTCACTCATACAGCATTATCGGAGTTGTCCATATTATTTTAATTTACGGTGAGTGTCTTCGAAATGCTATCGAGGCTTCGCGAGTGCATGCAGAACGTTTTTCAAGATCGTTCGTGGTTTGTTTTTTGTTTGGTGCGAAATGAAATGTTTAGTATATAAAACTGCGGTTGAAAGGCTACGTGTGAGTTAATCAATCTGCTGTATTAATTCGGGAAAGGAAGTCCATTCTAAAAGCCGTCAGCGATGGTTGAATACGTGGAGCTTATACACATATTATGTCAGGTGGCAGTGTCACCTTTAGTTTTCGCACCCTACAATAATTAGCTCTCATTTACCGCTATGCCAACGGACTTTGCTCCTCTAGAATCTCCTCCATGAAGCCGTCGCGATATAGTTCTGTCATACGGTCCCACCAGGCTGCACGTTGCGTTGTTGATGTTTACCGAGGTTACGAACTCGTACACATCAGTAACTTTTAACGAGCAGTGTATTGTTATTTTCGAAAAACCGCATTCAATCGCTCAAACGTCAGACACCAAATGTATACGATAGCCTTGAAACGATTAAAAAGTAACAAGCCTGCTGGCTCCAATCCACGAACTTTATGTAACGATGCATCTAAAATCTAGAATGACGGAATAATATTTCAGTATCGGTTAACTATCGATCTATCGATCATGTTCAAGTGCGTCCACATCTCAAAGTTCCATCTGGTGAAACCCAACATGACCATGATGGAGATTTTCGACATGAACAAGGTGCTATGTCTTTTGGTCATAGCTAGGTCCTTCCACACAATATTTGGAAACCTGTGAGGAATCTATGATATTTTCTGAATATGCAAGGTAAACGATATGACAATGAGTGATTTTGAATGTTGCTTTGACTTGCCACGCAAATCGGAAGTGGCATAATGTTACATAACATGTACATGGTGTCCGGATATAAATTGACCCCCTGTAACTTTTTTATATGGTCTTCCAGAAAAAAGTTATATGGTCTAATTTTCATGTAATATTTTTTTGTCTCAGAAAAGTGCTATCGAATAAAGATTTTTTAAATGGAACACCCGGTATATTTTCAGGGAAATGATAGTCCATTTTGTCTGATTCAAAATACATAGAGTTTATAATACTTATTTTCATTAGGTTGGCCAAAAATAAGTCCGTGTGTCATTTACTCATATGCATCAGAGTTCGAACCAGTTTGCATCTAGCTGCCTATGAAATCTGGAATACGGTCAGAATATATAATAATATGATTACATGACACACTAACTTAAGTAATAACAATAAGCTTAACGAACGGATATTTGATATTATCCGTGTCTCAATGTTGTTACTAGAAATCGGATTCAAATTGTGCAAAACAATTATGCTAGGTTCATCTGCGGTTTAAGGCGCTTTGACCATGTTTCTGGTAGTCTTATTGAATTAAACTGGATGATAACAAAAAATTTTGTCAAATATCATTACCTTGTTTTTATTCATAAACTAATACTCATGTCAAAACCTATATACTTAAGAGAAAAGCTGATCATTAGGCGTAATATTCATCATAGACATATTAGATTTCCAGATTTGATAACTACACCTATTCACTCCTCAACTTTATTCCAGCGTTCTTTCACGTACAGTGCTTCAGTGTTATACAATGCCTTGAGTCCTGAATTCAAAACCATGTCCTTAAATTGCTTCAAGAAAGCTGTCAAATCTCATATTTGCTTGGATCCACTAGTTAGGTGAAAAATTAAAGCTTCCGCCTTTTGTTGGGTACTTCGACAAAATTTAAGCAAAGAGGACTCTCTAGCTTTCAATGGACTTTGCCATCATCATCAGGAGAGTAGTATGTGAGGATGTTGCTAATTGTTGTTTACGTTCAGGATGAGGGAAACGCCCAGTAACATTGTGAAAGCTGGATAGATGGTACAATGGTCAAAATTATATAAAATACACACAAATGTGTGACAAGAACAAGTTAAAAACAGATTAAAAAATTTTTAGAACATGAAAGCATTACATTGTGAAGCCACATCATCATCCTAACATCCATCTAAACTCGCCCGCAAAAATCTAGCAACGGCGCACTGTTCACGAATTACAAATAAGTATTTTTTTTAAGTTTTTTGGATCATTCTAAACAAAGAAGGCCTCCAGTAACCTTTTCCTACAGTTGACCGTTTTCAAATTATAAACGATTTAATTTCTGAAAACGTTAAAAATGGGTATATTCAATGCTTAAAATATCAGTTAAAAATTATAGTTTTTCAGGTGAATCTCAATCAGCTAAATTAGCTAAAACCTTGCTCTACAGGACCTCTGAAAGTAATTTAGGATTAGCTTATTCTTAAGTCATTTTTAAGCTTGTTTAGCAGGACAAAATTTGCGAACTTTTGATTATCGCAGAATGTACATCAATTAAAGCCATGCCTCTCATTTTTGTCGGTCTGTCTGTCCGCAAATCCTTGGCCCCTCTACGGAAAACTACAAAAATAACAGCGATCTAACTTCTTTTTTACGCTGGGTTCCTCTATACGTCTATGACTAACTTGTGGTATTTTCGGAAAATACGAATTATTATTTTCATTCACGTTTCTCTGTTTGTTGCAATCATTTTCTATTTTCAAGTGCATCGGTGCAATGTATGTTGAGTGTTTCACTTTGGGTAGAGTGTTAATAGAGCGGAACAATCATTTCATAGGACATTAATTTTGAATAATATAATTTGAAATCTGTCACAAAACGTCATTTGATTTCGTACGTGTCGATGGTTATTTCAATATGACTTATGTTTGCGGAGGTTTAACCCCAAATAAAAAATATGGGGCGACTTTGCGTTGCGTTGGAAACGACTTGATAGAAGGGGGAATTGGTTTTTTGTTTGTAAAATGGAAGAATGACTTGTATTGACGTATTGAGAAAATAAAACCTAATTTCGTCGAATTCCTGTATGTGTGTTATTAACCTCAGGACCACGGAAATACTAGAACCCTAGAGGTTTAAAATACCTCTTCATGTTTTGGCCATACTTTTAACCCTTTGTGATGTTAGATTTAAATCTTTGTGAAATCGGCCCTACGTGTTGCTAAAATCACGATTTTTTTGAAAAAACAAAGTATGTGATTTCTTTGATTAAATGGTGATTTGTACTGATTTTTTCTTTAAATCTCGTAATAATGGACTTTAAATTAACTGATTTTAATTATTTTATCTTATTCGCCCAAAAATATTTGTTTTCTAGATTTATTGTAACAAAATCTCCTCGGAAGCATACAAAAAACTTGTGTTGACCTGTCAAGCGCGTCTTCCTGTCGGAACAACCTGATGACGTGAGGTAAAATTGACTGGCTGACTGCTTACAAGCTTACATTAAATCGTTGCCAAAACTTCTGAAAATTTTCGAAGAGCATAAAAATGATGCCGTAGTGCGAGAATAGTCTGTTGCCATTGATTGATAAGGTTCAAAGAAATGATGCAACCCTTTCTGACTTTAAGTCAAATACAAAAACGAAGTCACGGATACGAACAACGCATCACTTTATATCATCTGTTAGCATAATTTCTTGACCCGACAAAACCACAACATCTATTAGCAGACGACGAAAAGAGTTGTGCTTTGAAGGCCGCAAAAGAACTACTTCCCAGTGGGTTCTTGCCACTACTAATTCAATTCCTGGCAAAATCAGATCGTTTTCCCAACATAATGTTTGGTGAAGGAAATTCTCAAAACTTCAAAAGCTTTAAATTGGTGGAAACCCCAACAAAATATCGATGCTATTCAAAAAGTAGTATCGACATTTGGTATGGTACATCCCAAACTTTGAAATCGCTCGTGACCCGAGAAAGCTGCTAAATTAGTTTTCCTGTGTTACAATTGCCTTCTTAAACAAGTATTTTATTCAGATTGTTCAAAAGAAGAAATTAAAAGTGAATTAGCTGTTAAAATTGGGTCTTAAAAGCTGTTGTACACGGTTGATGAGGTTAAAATTCTTGGCGTAATGATCTATTTCGTGGAGAGATATACGTAAGAGAGATATGTAAAAAATCTCTTCAAGAAAACCTACTTGAGACTGAGATCGCTATATGCAAATCAAGCAACTTTTAATTTTAAACTAAGGAAAAAAGTGTGCTCACCTTTGGTTATGCCCATTTTCAACTACTGTGATGTTTTATATTATCCATGTCTCGATGTTATTATTAGAAATCGGATCCAAATTGTGCTAGGTTCATCAAACAAAAAATATTGTCAAATATCACCTTGTATTCATTCATAAACTAATATGTACTTATATCAAAACCGATATACTTAAGAGAAAAGCTGATCTTTAGGCGTAATATACTTGATAGATTTATTAGATTTCTAAATTTGATAACTAGACCTATTCATTCTACAGCTTTATTGCAGCGTTCTTTCGCGTGCAGTGCTGCAGTTTTATACAATGCTTCGAGTCCTGAATTCAAGAACATGTCCTTGAATTGCTTCAAGAAAGCTGTCAAATCTCATATCTGCTTGTACCCATAGTTTCAATAAGTCGCTCTTGTCTATATTGTTAAATGTTTTTTCTTTACTTTGAGTACATGTAGCAAATTTTTGTGCAACATGTATTTTTTTGTTTGATATCACCTACTTAAGATTAGCATGCTGCTAAACTTCGTCACCATATGCATATTTCCTGATGAGCTATTTCAGTTATTTGCTTTGGTGACACTGCATAAGGGTCTGCTCCAGTTCAAATGGATACATTCCAGAATTTTCCTAAATTTAACTACATATTTTCGCCTGAACGTAATAACCTCACAAAACTATCAAAAAAGACAGCTGTTAAGTCGGTTAAATACTCGTACCATCCACATTAATTTTTCAATTCTCACATAAATGTTTCCGAGGCCTACATTTAGTCATGGATGACAGATTCAAGAACATCAGAATCACTGGCGACTGGCAAAAAGCCTTTCCGGTTAAGGCCACTTGAGGGACGATACCAAGTTTAGAAATCAGACGTTCCTTTAGCGACGGACATTTTCAGATTGCTTCAGCCCAAAACGGTGCCGCAACAATAATAGTGATCCTACTATTTGTAGTCTGTACACTTCGCTCATACGTAACTGAAAATAGCATCTAATGATCACTTCATATTTTTTTTAGAGAAAAGAAAATCCATGGACCAGGCACTAAATCCAGCGACAAATGAATAGACACAAATTACAAGTCTCAGACTCCAAGTTGAATAGAAAGAGCTCATAGACGTCTATCTAGCGAATGAAAAGGCTCACGAACATGGAAGAGTAAAAATAATATTTACGAACGATTTTCTTGAATGGAGGCAACTAAATCTCCTGTCTACTTCGATAATATGAATGCGAGGAATTTTGATATCATTTGCGAATACGAATCGAGACATTTTTATACGCGAATGTGACATATTTAAAGCTCTCAAATGAAGTGATTATGTTCTTTTTATATTTAAGAATGCAAGAAGTGTGTATATGCAGTAAAGTATTCTTGAATGATCCTTGTTATTATTACCTATGTATAGCAAAATACGACAGGAGGAGGGAAAGAGGGTCCGTGGCGTGTACTGGTGTCCCAATATTCCGTGAACATATAAGTAGCACGTATTTTTAGACTCAAAATAAGACGATTGGTCATGACTTACCTCTATGCAAAAGAGCTTCATTTGTCCGTTCGAGGGGGTCAGTTTTCTTTTTAAAAGACATTTAATTCAGATATTTGACTTTGACTTACAAAAAAACACAAAAGGGTTCGAAACGGTGAAAACTACCCCCACCCCTACCTAAATTATAGCAGAATTTTTTTGCAACTCTCCCAACGACTCTGATTCGGAGAGCCTGTTACTATAGATGAGAAAAAATTTAGTAAGTGAAAAGATCTGCTAAATACAAAAAATCAGAGTCGTTGGGAAAGATGTAAAAAAACTTTGCTATATAACAAGTCAAATATTAAGACGTCTAGTTAAACACATTGCCCATATATTCTGGGAGAGGGAGGTTAATGGACAACATAACGTAAGATTTTCGTAGTGGCGGTTTACAAGTTATATTGAAATTAAGTTATTTTGTGCATAAAAAGGCAACTCGCATTCGTGCTTATCTGAAAGAATTTACGCAGTTTAATATATTCAACTTTTAGAATCATAATAATGAAAAAAACGTTGTTTACTCCTTAAACACCTTGAAAATTCCAAAGGAAGAACGTAAAATTTTACTTTGCAGCAAAAAGAACCTTTCCATATATTTTGTGGCCCACCATAAATTAGGTAACTAACAAAATGCCGCTTAGAAAGTTCTGACATTCAAAGTATTTTCGGAGAGAGACGGAAAAAATGAATTTTCTCAGAATCGTTTTATTGTTTTACTGACTTTACTTCTAGTAAGATTCCAAAATAAATTGAACATTAACATTATCACTTCTTCTCCTCTCAAATTTCATGTTGTCAGTATCGTGATCATGGATATTGGAAGCAGAAAACACAAAACCAGGAAATAAATGACTATCTGATAATTTCAAGGCCTACTCAGGAAATTCTTTTTTTTTTGGATGACCAGGATTTGGTAATGTTGATGTATTCAATTAACATGTTATATATTTTTGATATCGGAATTGAAAACTATTCATCTGTGCAAAACTTCAATATGGGGTCTATTAGAAAATAAAGTTTATGCTGGAGAACAAAAGAAGAAAGGTCGTATTGAAATTCTAATTATACCATCTTGTAGAGGAGAATATGCAATTTATCTTGAAATCCCACTACAACTAAAGTCAGGAAAAAATTGAAACGATTTTGAGAAAATTCGGTTTTTTTCGTCTCTCTCTGGAAATACTTTGAATTTCGAAACTTTCCTATCTAAATACGAAAACTTGTCCCCATTTAAGCAACTTCGTAACTTCTACCGTTTCTAAGATCCCAATGATGCGCGTCGAATTTGAAACACCCGGTATATGGTTGGCTATCTTCAGATTGAATATGTTAATCAACAACCCATGGTACTTGTGAAGTTCCCAGACTCTTGTCGCTGGTGAAAATCGAAGAGGAGAAATCGCAGACGTCCATGGAAAATTCTCAAAAAAGTTGGTAAGACTATACTTTGGCGCATATCGCAAATATTTCATTTCTTATTTTAAAATGAAGGATTACGATGTAATTTTCACGAAAATATCATTTTTTGTTTAAGGAACCTTCTGCTTGCTAATTTATATTATATTTCTGGTCTGATGTGAGGCCTTGTTTGGTACCTCTGGAAGCCGGGATTCTCGGGCAACTGCTCCGATTGCCCCTAAATAGCTCTGGTCTGATTTTGAATTATTTAGCGACATACCTGTACTTATTGATTAACGTCATTATGTCCGACTATTGATTATTATAATTCGCTCTAGGGTACATACAATATTCCTAAGAGCAATAAAGTAACCCACTCCTGCTTTATAAAAGTAGTCAATTTTTATTATTAATGTATCAGTTTTAAACGCGTCTTTTTACTGAATTACTCGTATCCTGTGGGGAAATTCGGTTTTTTTCCCTACATTCCGAATGTAATTAACTATTTTGTTCAAAGTATAATAAATTAAGTCATTCTGAATCGATGCGAAGCTTTTAGCATATTAAAGGGTTGAAATTTAGCTAAAAGGGATGTATTGGAGGTAGTCGTACTACAGTCTAGTACTCTGAAGTTCGTCTTGCGAAGCAAAATATTAAAAAATGAGGGCTACATTTTGGTATGTACAGCATCAAACACAGACACAATAATAAATAAGGCAGACACCAAGGCCAGCAACAATACAAAATTTCTAGGATATTAACAGAAACTAACACTATGCAAAATTGTATATTGATGCATCAAAACTTAACAACAGAGTATAGGAAAAGCTGTATGACATTCACCTCTACTCTTACGGCGCAATTCCACTGAGGCAACAATGAACGACATGTGGCATGCCACTTGTTTCCTAGTGTTGCCTCTTGTTGACGTTCGACAGTGTTGCCCAAAATTCTATTAATGCCGCATGCGGATTTTGTTCGCCTATATGGCATGCGCTTTGTCGTACATGCGTGTAGCATCATGCGTCTTCACGATTCAATTCAAGCAACTCCAGTTTAGTACGCCATGTCATTACAGATAGTCGCGGCGGCTGCTTATTTAGTAATTTCTTCGGATCGGAAAAGAAAAAGAAAAACGTCAGAATATTGAAGAAGAAATATAGACGTAGATGGTCAAGAAATTCAGTACAATTTGTACAACAACTTGGTGGCTGACGATGATGCTTTATTCAGAAATTTCACACGGATTCCATACCAGAACGGTCATCTCGGTCGGCGCACGACGCCAGCAGCAACCGCGGCCGATAAGTGGGATATCTGAGAATATTGTTCTAAGATTTCAGGGCTAATGTACAGAAATATCTATGATGCACAAAATTCGTCTAAAAGATGCATAGGATTACCAATGTTGGTAGCGTATAAATATACCAGCATCAGATCAGAATCCTCTGAAGTTTGAATGATTTTTACTTTTTAGGCATTTTTCTCTGCAGCCACTAAACTGAAAATTTGCTTCCTTGCTACTCTTGTAAGAATTTCATCGAAATACGAGCGCTACTTCTCAAGTTATAGGTGGTTATAAGATTAGCAGACAGACCGACAGGCAGACAGGCCAAAAAACATAGTGTCGCATTTTCGTAAATTTTCGCGATTACAATACTTCCTCAGCAGTAGACGTGGGAAGTAAAAGCAGACCTCCAAGCAAAATCAGCAACAAATATAGTAACTACATCAACCGTAAGCATTTCAGCTACATTATGTATTCTTTCCTCAGAAACAGAGTCACTGAAGTCTAGAACAACAAATGGCAGAACAATTCATCAAAGCTCCTAGAACTAAAACCTAGATTCGGACCAAGGGTTACAAATTCTACAAGCAGAAGGCAACCCTCACTCCCGGCTCCATTTAAGCCACACCCAGGAGCCAGAACCCATGTGCGAAGTGTGTAACAGTGTAACTAATCTCAGTGTCAAACACATATTTATGTAATGACCGTTATTAGAATACTATAGAGTGGAATATAAACCTTACATCGTAAACTATGAGTGACATTTTAGCACCAAACTGTAACCTAGACTACCTTTACACTTCTTGCAGCTAATTAATGTACTATATATATAATAGTATATAACTTATACCCCTTAAGGACTAACAGGTCCATGCGGTTTATTGAATAAAAAACACTGAGGAGTTCGTTTTTAATGGAAGGAAATAGAAAAATTACATTTATATCAATCACCATTTAGTATGAGTTTCTTAACAATCACGTTAACTAATACCACTTTACAGTGATAAAAAAAGAAGTTTTTTATATCGTAATCGCGAAAAAAGTCGAAAATGGGATATTATGTTTGTTTGGATGTATGACATGTACATCACAAAAAAACATTCACTCATTTCCGTCGGACTGTCTGTCTGTTCGCTCGGATTTTGATGCACATTTCATACCAGATCACTTGAAAATCGCACAAAAAAAACAAAAAAAAAAATAAAAATAGCTCAAACGTTTTTTTGACATTCCAGATGATCCTAATCATCATCATGGGGGAAAGTATATGTCAACTTGTTGGACTAGCAATTTATGTGACATTATGTCGATCTTTTTTGGCATTGTATTGTTTTTTTTTGTGATAATATGAAGGTTTTTCTACACGATGTTAACTTAGCACTAGCTGATGGACACGTTGTGAACTCGTTTTGTAGTTGAACATGTTGTCTAAACGTCATGAGGTTTCAGTTATCAATATTTGGATGTGATGCAAAAACCTGCTTCAGAGATGGCATTACTGGAGGTCTAAGCTGTAAGTTTTATACTATAGCTAGAAGAAAACGGCAACATATATGTAGGTGCATAATGAGGATTTGTGTGCTAATAATATGTGTTGATGATAATTCCATTGGATACTTGTCTCAAATACACTTACTTGAGATTCAAAGCTAGAAATAAGTTGCGCATCCGCTTTTTCTTATCCATTCTGGATAAATTACATTTACGCAAATTTGCTGAATTTCCAAAATGAGAGAGATAAGAAATAATTATGTTCAATGTACACTGTCGAATTACAAGTCGTATACAAGCTAACAGTAATTACACACAACGCGGGCACGGTAGTGAGTTCTTGTAATTCTCCTCAAAGTTTTTTAAAACACAAAAAACGTAAAAAATCATTATTTATACTTTGAACATCTCTCTTCAGTCGGGCATAGCTAACAGGTAGCATATTCAGTAATGATTTTCTCACACAGCAAATATCACACATACAAACCAATACACATAATCATCCAGATGCGATCTTGCTATTCAACCAATTTTCTTCTCAGAGATGAAAACTACAGACTACTCGGGTTCACAAAACGTAACCAACCAACAATCCGTGTAGTTGAGCCGTTCCCCCATAGATGGACGCTCACAACGATCCTAGTGAGCAAACTTGGAATGACTGTTTGCCCCTG